ACGCCAGTGTGAAAAATCTGAGCTGATGTGGATAAAGCTATAACAATTCAAGATACATCCCAGGAAATGCTTAATTTCCAGTTAACCCTTTCCTCTGTTTCGGTTGTAGTTTTTTTCAAGAAACACAGCAGAGCTTTGGTTTCTTAGGTGTGGAAAACCCTTCTATTTCTGTTAAAATCCTGATGATTGCCTTTCCATTTAATATTTTTTCTTCTCAAACTCCAAGAAAGCTAAATGGGTAAAACTTTGATTAGCACTACTGCCCTGGCAATTCCCAGGAAGTCTGAGGATAAAAGACTGAAGCAAAGACCGTGCTCTTGTAAGTGCCCAAGGAGCTCACATCTTACAGTTCCCTGCCACACTTTATTGAGCTCATCCCTCATGTCTGAGCTCATCTTGGCAAAATCCATCTTCACTGTCCTTCAACCTGCCAAACCACAGGTACATCTGTATTGGGCACCACCGTGCAATTCCACAGCTGAGTGCTAAAAAATCAAAGTGTCAAGGCTGCAAAGTCAGACACAAAGGACTAGAGGGCATCTGAAGTGACTGTCAAAAGTCCACCTGCCTGCACTAAGGCAGGAGATACCCAGACCAATAAATGCTGCCTACCATACTCCTTAAAGGCTGCTGAGGAAAGAACATTCCTCAGCATCTCGAGGTGATCAGGTCCAACTTTTCAGCACTTTCCAAGATATTTGGAAGAAAAGGAGACCTGAATCCCCAGCTCAGAGCACAGTAGTTTGGCTGCCAGAATTCTTCATGCCCCAGTGCACACATCAGGGGAGTGACTGCCTCAAAGCACTGATTCAGTCCCTCTCTGCAACCACCCTCCCTAAAGGAAAGCCTCCATCACCTCATCCTACTGAAATGCCCACATCACATCCTGAGCCAGGAAAGAATCCCAGAGCAAGGTTCAGCCTCACATGCCTGGGAGTAAATTCTGGTGGCGACAAGTCTTGTTTGCCACGGAGCTGAGGCACAGAGCAACTTTTAACTTTATGCGGTTTCATTCCAACAGGAATGAAAATTCCAAAATTAGGCTCCAAAATTACATTTCTTTATCCTTACAGATGCACCAATACAGCTGTGGTACCTGTAACTCTCCGCTCAGGACAAAACAGTAGTTTTATGACAACTCAGGCTTCAAAAATGAAAGTGATCAGGAAAGATTTCGGACTTTGATGCCACAAAAAAAAAGTACAACCGACAGTCCACCCTGATCATTTGTAAAATAGCATTGGCTACATTATAATGAAACCTTGCCCAAGTTCTCTTTAAACAGCACTGCTGAAATCATCCCCACTTAGGGCTGCTGTCCCAATTAGTGATCTCGTCAGACAGCACAATCATTCCCCACCACGGAGAAAACGCCATCACCTCATTATTTGCAGCAGCAGAGTCAGCCGACATGGCTTATTCTCTTAATGAATTAATTCTCATAACTTACTAACGCTTCCAGCTACTATAAACACCTCCTGAAAGCACACCACAATTTTAATCGGTTTCAAACATCAGATGTTGGGTTTGATATTTATGATTGTTCTGCCTCTGTTTCATTTAAGGGCTCCTTTTGTCTATGAAAGCAAAGATAAGAAAGTTAACTGGGACACCCACTGTCAAGGCTCTAATTTAAGGGGAAATTGCCTTTGTCGCTGACTGTCAGATGCTAATAGCTGCTGCTACTATTTTCCCTATGATAGCAGGCCAGTGATCTTAGAGAAGTGTCCTTCATCCTAAACAAAGCAATGATTGAGTCAACTAATTGAACAACTGTGCCCCTGCAGTTTCTAAAGCAGACATTCCTCTAAGTCCATTTTAACCTACAGGAAAAAAATATCTCTAATAACTGGAGTGAGAACTCAGTGTGGCATTGTGGGGAGGTGACTGGGAATTATTTCTTTTTAAAGCCTCTTTTATAAGGATTCCCCATTAGCCTTTAATTAGCATGCCAGCTCCTATTCGGAGGTTTCTGATCACTCACAGCCCAGTTCAGCACTCACGGACAGGAACAGAGCAGACTCCCTTGAACTCTGTGGGGTCTGTGGGGGGGCTTAGGGCCATGCAGGGAACTCTGTAGTACCAACACAAAGTTAATTGAGCAAGCCTGTGACACCCAGCTCTGCCTGTCAGCCTTTGTAAGAGTTTTCCTACAGAAGATCAAAAGAAAACCTGGACTTCCAGATTTGGGGCTATGTAAATATATCATCTGTACTCAGCAGGTGTAACACTAATTCATCTTTTGCTGTACAGAACAGTGAGATGATCTATCAACCTCTTCGGTCTGACTATTTACATGTATTTTAAATCTTTGCTTACATAAAACTACAGTGAAATATTTTAGAACAGAGCATCTGCCAACACACATGCAGTGCTCTGCTAAAGGCAGGTATATGTAAGATCATCAGTTAGCTATGACAGGTGATTTAGTGTGATTCATCTTTCAGGATCATCTCATTCACAAGGAAAATTGAGTGTCATCCTCATCCATAACCTACAAATACCATCTAGATACCTGAAAATGACAATAGGTTAAAGGATGCAGCAGCCAAAATATTCGACCCAAACCCTTTTGGAATAGAACCCGAAAACATCAGTAAACCAGCCAGAACTACTAACACAGATTGCCAGGGGCTAATGAACATAGGAAACTCTTTACCCAGCACATAATTTTGCTGTTGCTGGGAGAGCACTACTCAGTCATTTCAGCACAGATCCAAGAAATTTCCTTCTTTTGGTGTTTCTCCTCCTGAGCCAGACACAAATTCCGACTAAATTAAGAGCTGTGGTTCAAAACAATTCAGTGGAAGGCAAGAAGAACAAAGGTCAAAGCTTAGATCTCTACCTTGCAGGTGCACATCCAGAGCACACAGCCAAAGAGGGCCATGCGCTTCTGGCAGTGACTGGCAACCCATCCAGGAGTGAAATATTTGGGGTCTGCTCCCTGTATCACCTCCTTCACTCCCAGGTCCTACCCAGCCAGGATGACCCATCCTGGGCTTTGCTGTAACATCAGCCAACATCAGCCAACTTAATCTCCAGCAACCCCCTGAAAATCAAACCAGTCTGAAACAGAACACAGCCACTGCCTCTACCTAAAACAATGGATGATGGGTCAGTCCACTGGGAGCTACTAAATTCATATAAAATATTTCAAACAGCTATTTCACCTCTATCTTTCCTTTTACAATACCAAAAAGAAAACCCAAAAGAGCTTTCAAAAAGAGGTACAGGCCCCTGAGCTACCACACCTTTAAAAGGATTTCCTGTGCCCCACAAAACAGGTGGAAAGCTCTAAAGCCCAGCCTGGCGATTTAGCCTACACATGCCAGATTCAAGATTTGGCCAAAAACCTTAAATGAACCAATGTAACAGCTGCCACAAAATCCCACAATCTCTGATCAATACCTTCCATGTTTAAGGCAGCACAAGCCGCCTCTCTGCACAACAATCCTAAGCCTGCAAAGAGTAAATAAATTACAATAAATTTCAGAAGCTTGGGAAACCGTGGCAGAGCCCTTAATTTTTCAACAGCAGCACATCCTAATCTCAAAGCATTTGAGACACCTATGATAGGCCAAAAAGCTCCTCTTAAAAAAATAAGATATCCACCAAAGCTGCAGATACATATGTGTTGCAAAAAACTAATGAAGTTTAAAAACCATTGAAAATGTTAACACAATGAACATGAAAATACTGAGTGTGTTAAAGCCTTTTGCATGACTTCATTCTAGATCTTTTTATTCCTAATTTGACTTTGGTTTTCAGTCTAGATTATAAAGAAGATTTAAAACACAGATACTTTTTTCCCCTTCCAATGAAGCCTTCCCATTAATAAAAAGGAAACAAAGAAAATGAAGAAAGTGAGTAGTAAAACTTTTACAACATAATAAAGTATATCTGAATCCCAGTGCAGCACAATTGGAATTGTCTAAAGATGCTGAATTATGGGTGGTTGTCATATAAAGTTCAGTCCATGGTATTAGAAATCATATTCTCCAGCAACATGTATATAATTGAGAGATCTTCATAATAATCCTCAGTTTAAAGGCTCATAAAACTGCGCTTTACCCGTAATTTGCAAGAGGAAAGGATTCTTAAAGGAAAGTAACATCTTTTTCTCAGAAAGACTCTGAAGGCTGTGCATTTTTAAACAAGCAACCCTAGAAACTCTGTCTCTTTCAGAGGCTCTTGTAAGGCATTATACTAACCCTGGGTTTAAATAGATAAATATGTATCTGTAGTACACACAACCAGAAAGAAAATTAGTATCAGAGAAAGGAACACAAAGTATGTGGAAAGCAAAGCGCGCTACATTTTTTCAGGACTATAAGTGCAGAGGTTACATTAAGGTAAATATCTTGTAACACTGTAGCCAACACTTAAACAAGGTTGGGCACTCACACACAGAAAATGAAGATTGTTGCATTTATGAAATTGCATAAACCACATTTATCCACCTCCCATATAGAACAGGAGAATAATTCTATAAATATTATCAGCTCTTGACACTCTGTGCAGACTCACTAAACTCTCAGTTTCTACCCGACATTCTAAACCAAACTCCTTTCAGTTTGTTAAAATCAACTTTAGCTTTGTAAATAAAATTTGTTTGTTTTCAAACAAAGCTACTTCAAGCTGTTTCAGGAAGCAAAGAAAGTAACAGTAGTAATAATAATAACAATTTCTATTTGGATTTCAGAACCTGAGGAAACAAAACTAGCACAAGTCAACCCTGGTGTTTTCCTACCTGGAGCAGGTACGGACCAGCTCTCAAATGCCACCTTGGGATAGCTCAGACTAGCAATCCCATTCATGTTTAGATGAGACACCAGCACGAACAAGAACCAAAAAAAAACCAAAAAGAAACTCTTCCCTGTCCTCCTCTGTTGTTAGCAATGCCAACAGCAGTGGCTAGGACCTAAAGCGAGGACCAGGAGGACCAGACCAAGCCAAGCCAACCCTGATCTAGAGAGAACCAGGCTTAAGAGGAGACTTACTGCCTGCCATGTGACAGGGGGAGGTGTGCTGCCCATTGGGAGTGCTAGAGGTGAGGTCGATGGCCATGCCGCAGTGCTCCCTCTCAGGCGAATAGTCATTGTCACCTGCGAGCACAACACACATCCCGTCAGTTCGTCAGTTTGTATCCCTTCTTCGGGAGAGATACACAAACATCGAGAGCCACAGCCCGCTCGCTCTCCTCACCCCTGCCCTTCCCTCCTTCACCAGCGGCGTCTTCCAGAGCCTCTCACACCTCTCAGTTGCCCAAATAACATTTGGCTGATTTTAAGAGCCCCCTCAAAGCTACTGTCTGAACAGCACCCTATTTGTTACTCAGACTCCTGTGGCAAACTTTGTCCCAGCTGTTGGTTTTAAGTAAGTTAGGATTACTTTTCCATTAGCAGACAGGGACAATCCAGGCTGGGCAAGGGAAGACTTGTAGTAATTAGTCTTAGTAATAGTAATTCACCAGACCTTCATAGGGTCTGTATGAATAGTAATTCATACCGACCTTCCCTCAAAAGCTCTGGATTAACTGACTGTTAAAAAGCACAACCCCCCCCCCCCCCCCCCCCCCCCCACAGAAAACATAGAGAAAGGCATAAAAAGTTTTTGGCTGCAGTTTGAATTTCTGGAGAACAACTCTCTCTAATTTGCAAAGTTCATTCACCCCCAGCAAATATTTAAACCTAGAGATAATCACCCATGCACCCCATCCCCATGCATGTCTCAGTCATACAGAGAATTTATATTTAAATGCTACTAATTCAGTGTCAATGCAGACACTGTGCAGAAGCAAGCTAAACTTTCAGGTTTCTGCATTATACAAGGGAGAGTAGGAAAAGAAAAGCAATTCAGAATAATCAAAATGACTACTTACATGTAATATATCCATCAACAGCCTCTGCTTCCATAGTCAAAGTGCAGTGCTGCAAGGCAGAAAAGTACACTCTCAGAGACGCCTGTCAGTATCAACCATTAAATGATTAAACTTACTTAAAGCCCTAAGTAGTTGCCCATTTTATTGCTGTTGCAACCACTGCCTAGAGAAACACACAAGTGCACTGCATGTGCTCGTTTGCAAATCACTGAACTCTTCCTGTAAATTATGTGAGCAGACATGCAGCTGCCCCTGCCCAGGTGGCACCTGGATCATCCTGGTCTGACCATACCTCTCTCTCTCTGTGCCCCACTCATGCTTTTGCCTGGTCTGAGAGGTTTTTTTCCTGACTTTCTTCTTGTTTCTTCAAGCTGGGATGGTAATGCTCTATCAATTATCTGCAGCCAGAAGAGACTTTGAGGATATGGATATTACTGACAATTGCTCTTTTCGCACACACTACAAGACACTGCCTCCTGGTCTAAACAAAATAAACCTTCCCGTGTCCATTCCCCTTGGACACAGCTGTTCCAGCTTTGTCCCACACCTCTGTGTGCACACACACCTGTACACACACCTGTTCACTCTAACCCTATTTATTTGCCACAGCACAGGGCCAAACATCACATTTCATACTCCCAGATCACGCATTTTGTGGTGTGAAGCAATCTTAAAGTTTCTGGAAGCACTTTGCTGACACAGAACAAGCTATTACTTTCCCGAAACCCAAGTAACTGTATAGAATGACACCCCCTAGCTATCATTTGATATATATTGTGGGGGGGAGAAGAAAAAAAAAGGAGAGATCAATAATCATAACTATGTTCTTTTAAGTAGAAAAGTTAAGAATCTGACATGACCAGAGGAAAATTTTATTTCCTCTCTCCCTCCATGGCCTCTTTTTTTGCCTTTAGTTTCAAAACTCTCACTGCACCAGGCAGCTAAATTATTCACAATGAGCCATTTCTGTATTGATCGCCAAGTATATTTAGCCCTGGCTCCTGGAATTTCTCCATTACTTACTGGAAAACAGGCAGCTTCACTTCTTGTCTCCAAAACCACTTCCCTCCCCCTCCCTTAACCCTCTTTCCTTCCCTCCCTCCCCACTCCCTGCCTTTCCCCCAATAAATAAATACTTTTCTCTGTGCTCTTCTTTGGTATAAAGCAGATCAAATTCCCAAGGCATTCAGAACATAACACTTACATTTCAACCTGCCTAGCTGCTACCAAACTCTCTTCAATTACTGATTTTCACAACTCTTAAAAAAGAAATCTCAAAAAAAAAAAAAAGCAAAAAAAGTTTTCAGAACAGGTAAGCCACTTCCTCAAGCCCTTCAAAATTACCTTATCTTCCCCCTAGTCCAGGTAGGCAGGCACACACTGAGAAAAAGAAAGAAACATCAGAAGCAACAGGGAAAGATCATCCCAGCCAATGAAGTGGAAGGAAAGAAAGGGGAGGAAGGGAGGAGGAAGAGAAAGGAAGACAAAAAGAAACACAGAAACATCCATAACCTAAATTAAAACACAGCTTGAATTTTATTCTTTTATTTCTTCAATGGGGAGAGGAGGAGGAAGAGGAGAGGGAAAAGAAAAAGTTTGGTCACCATTTTTAGGCTGGTGATGGCAAATCCCAGCTGCTGAGCCTCTCCACAAGGAATGGAGGGAGAGAGTTTTGCTCGAGCTGAAGACACATAAAGATGGAGAAAGTTTTAAAAAATCGTTTTTTAAAGGCGGGGGGAGAAGAGGAGGGGGAAAGAGAGACGGGGAAGGGGAGAGGGATAGGGCAGAGAAACTCGCCCCCGCCACTTACAGGTGGGGCATGCGGAGCCGGGAGCCGGGAAGCCCCGGGATGAGCCGGCGGGGAAACTCGCTCAGGAATGGCACATACTTTGAAGGAAGATGAAGAACAAAAAAAAAAAAAAGAAAAAAAAGAAAAAAAAAGGAGGGAGAGGGAGGAGGGAGGGAGGGAGGGAGGGAGGTCAGCCGGTGCTACAGCAATGCGATTAACTAGCGCGGAGAGAGAGAGAGAGAGAGAGAGAGGAAAACTTGATCCACCGGTTCCTTACGGATTCCACGGGATCGGGGGGGAGCGGAGGGATTGCGGGGCGGGATGAGAAGGGGGGATGAGGGGCGGGATGGGAAGAGGGGGGCCCGGCGGGCGCACTCACACCCCGCGCAGCAAAGCCGGGCCAACTTCCCCGGAGCGCCGCTCCGGCCCTGGGCGACGCCGGGCTCCGCGCCTCATCCTGCCTCTCCCCGCCCCTGCCACAACCTGTCAAAGTCATGGAAGTCCTGCCTCGCTTGTCATTTTATTCCCTTTCCCCCCTCGTCCCCGCCGCAGGCCGCAGCCCCCCGGGGGCGCGCAGGTGGCGGCGGGCGCTGAGGGAAATGGCAGCGGGGCCGGGCTGGGTAACGGACCGGCGAGACCCGCCGCGGCTTCTGCCCCTGCTGCCTTCTGCTCTTCGTGGGGGGTTTTTCGTTTGCTTGGCTTGTTGGGGGGTTTTTTTAATTTTTTTTTTTTTTTTAATATTTTGAGCTAACAGCAACAAGTCATCGGCGCCCGCGGGGATGCTGCACAGCCGCGCTCGGCTCGGGGACCCTCCGCACACACAGACCCGCACGGACGGACCGAGCCCCGCGTCCCGCCGGCCCCGGAACGGAGCTGTCCCTCCTCCCGCCGGGGAAGGGGGGACCGGGGAGGGAGAGGAGAGGAGGGGAGGAAGGGAGGGGAGAAAGAAAAAGAAAGAAATAATAAGAAGCCAGGCGCAGATTTACCTCAGCCGCGCAGGCAGTGAGTCAGTTCCATCCCCCTTTTGTTTGTGTGTTTATTAGTGTCGGCTCCCTCTGCCCAGTGGAGGTGTGTTTGTGCACGGCAGTTGGCTGTGGGGGGACTAAGGCGGCGGAGGAGCCGTAGCTAAGGGTAATCCTGTTTTTACTTCCTCCATCTTCAGAGAGCAGAGGGTTAGCCTGGGACAGCTGGTCAAACCCCGAGAAACCGATCCGGCGGCGGCGGCGGCGGCCGCTCTCCCTCCCTCTCTCCCTCCCTCCCACAGACACACACACACAGACACACACACTCATTCGCTCCCTCCTTCACACACTCCCTTCCCTCCCTCACAGACAGATCCGCGCACACCCTGCCTGACACACACACACACACACCCTCAGAGATACGCGCACTCCCTCACAGCCATACACACCTCCTCCTTCACACACACTCCCCCAGACACACACTGTCCCTCCCTCAGGCTCAAACCCACGCACACTCATTCACTCCCTCCCTCACACTCAGTACTCCCCCATGGGCTCACACTCTCTCCCTCACGCACAGCCAGTCCCTCACACATTGTCACTCCCTCACTCACACTCAGCCCTGCACACACGCTCACTCCCTCACACTCAGGTCTCCCCTCAAAGTCTCTCACACGGACACACTCGCTGCCTCACTCGCGCTCAGTCCCTCACACACACAATCCCACGGACACTCATCCCTCGCACACACTCACGCTCAGTCCCCCACACTCCCACACTCGCTCCCCCCTCCACCTTCAGACCCCTTTCCCGCCCCGCGGCGCCTCAGCCCCCGCGGGGCCGGCGCGGCGGGGGGCGGGCGCCCGCAGCCGGCGCGAGGCCGCTCAGCGCGCTCGGCAATCGATTACAGGACAAGTGCGGCCGCCGCCGCCGCCGCCACAGTGCGCGCCCCGCGCCTCACGCGGGCGGGAGCGCGCGCCCTCAGGGCACGGCCGCGGCCCCTCAGGGCGGGCACCCCCCGCATCCCGCCGGCAGCCGCCGCCCAGGGGCTCCCGCCGGCCGGCCGGGCGGAGGCACCGGCGGAGTCATGATTCAGCACTTGTATTTATAACCGCCCGGGGGGCGGCCCGGCGTGTTACTTAATTAAACATTCGCGGCTGATACGAGCTGAGTTTCCGCGTGGAGACGGCCCGGGTGCGAGTGAAGCCTCTATACGGCATTCCAGCCAGGTCCCGGGAAGTCGGTGTGTGGGAAAAGTGTCAAAACCGGGATTAATGTCCTGAGGGAGATCCTCTCGCTGCCTTACAGCCAAGGCTGAAGGAATGAGCCCGAGTATTTCCCACAGCGAGGGGACATCCCCCCACTGAGGGGACACCCCCTCAAATCCCCTCAGGGGCTTTCCCCAGCCCAGCCCTCATGTCTGAGGGTGAATGTTTGCTATGCTTCCTCACAGAAGTTTTCCCTGCTTTCCACAGGTCCTGGACCAGGTGCCAACAGCATTGTCCTGCTCTCTTCTCTTTGAGCTGCTGGGCGCTGGTGACCCTGGTAATGCCATCATGAGGCACCAGAGTTTATGGCCCATTGAGAAGCTGAGGTTGAAATGATGACATTTCAATTTGCAAAATTAAGCAAGTACGCACTAGAAAGCATCGGGATTCAGGCTGCCCATACACCCTTGAGCCTTTTGACCCAACAGAGCAACTGATGGGAATAATGGAAGAGTTATCCTTGATTTTCACTGGTACCAAAGGAGAGTAACACCTGCATTTTGCCACTGAGTTTCAGACAAACGCTGATGGAAGTACCACCATCACTGCGTACCCACATTCTTTGTATATCAAAGGCTCTAGGTACTGGAAAAATTTGCTTTGAGGCAAAATCTCAACTACAAAATCTTGAAGCAAAAGCCTTAACTCTTGCTCTCACTACACACAAGCACAATATTGTTGGTAGAGACAAGGTGAACCCCAGGTTTTATTAGCACTGTCACTTCGCATCAAATGACGTTCTGCTTTGTAGCATAGCAGCAGAGCCACCCAACCCTGAGAGAGGGAGACAAACCCCACTTTGGAAAAGTCACTAAATGATTCAGCCAGCCCAAGACTAAAGTTAATTGACAGCTCTCTCCCCAACACCACAAATTTGAGCCAATTAGTCACTACGCCACATCTGTGAAATGGGTTTAACTTAACTCTTCTCCTTTTGCATAGGAAGAAGGCAGAAAGGTCAGGGGACTGGCCACAGAGAGCACCCAGAGCTGAGCCTAGAAAGCAGAATTCATGTTTCCCACGCCTACGTATCAACAACTAGACTTGGCTTGCCTACACCAGAAAATAGACTGGCATAGCTGGAGCTGGGTAATTATACCGTAACAGTTTATGCCGGAATAACTCTCCTTGCGGACACTCTCCTCCAGATGGAAAGTGACTTCCCAAAAGCTGGCCAAATGAATTCACTCAACAGCACACACTGGGTGTTTTGTCTTTCCCCCCACCCCTCCTTCCCCTCTTCATTTTGGGGGGTAAAAATTCCTGAGATGTGGGTCTCGGCAGCAATTTGAAGCCTTCGATCACTTTTAGAGACCATTAAAAGTGGGGACAAATGCAAAACATGTCATTGAAATGCTACAAGTCTTGTTGTCAAGATTTTTATGGTGCTTTTCATCAAAATGTTGAAAACTGAAAGCTTCCAGCTGGCTCTCCATACAGGTAATAACTTAATAGCTAACAGCTTTTCTCCCAAAGCTGCTGGAACCTGCTTGAGCCATGGAAGCTGATGGGAAAAGCCAGACTCATCCTCTACAGTAAATATTTTCTGATTTTTTAAATCAAGCTGCTCTGCAAGCTTTTGAAACCAAATGAAGCTGTGAAAGCAAGGAGGAGTGACCAAGGGAAAAGTACAGGGAATAAAGTGGCAGGACTTGGCTTTGTAAATCAGCTTGCCACCTCCAAGGGCTGCAGAGATGGGCACATCCTCACTACAGCAACTCTGGGCTGGATCACTGGTTTCAAGGCAGAACTTGGCAGAACTTGGGCTGTAGCAAGAGCTCCACAGTCATTTGCATTGCCCAGCTCAGCAGAGCTGCTCTGGTGATCTTGAGGGCCAAGTGATGGCTTGGGGACCAAGAGAGCCAGATTCAAATCCATCAATGACCAGAGGGCCTCTGCACGATTTTGGCCAAGCCATTATTGCCCTGCATTTCAGTTCTGCATTTCTGAAACAGAGCAATTAAAGGAATGAGAGCTTTTCTTCTGCCAAGCAGTGTCCCAAGAGCAGTTCTCAGCTTTGCCACATTAGAGAGGTCCCTCTGGCACACCTCTGAAAGAGCCCTTCCTGGAGCTCCTTGGCTTTCCATTGCCATCCACAGGACTCCTGCCTGCCCTGGGACGGTGCTCTGCCACACAAGTCCAGCTGTCCCCAGGATCTCAGGCTGTGCCAACAACTACCTGCTCAAGAGCTGTGATGTCCTCCTTGGCACTTGCTCAGTCTCCCAGAGCCTTGGTTCCCCTCCTGTGTGCTGCAGATAGCAGAGCTCCCTGGTCTCACAGGAGGGTTTAATTTCTCATCATGTGACAGCAATGTGCTTTGATAGGTTTGATGGGCTCAGCCTGTTTCCAGCTAAATATTTAAACATTTCACCCATATATGTGTGTGTGTGTGTATGCACATGCACACGTGAGAATTATTATTCAAAACCTCCATCATGCTTTTAATGTAAATTCTGGTTTAAAGTGTCTGATTTCCCTTTTTTATATGCCTGTATAAGGGCAAGGTGCTCTAGGAATTCACTCCCAAAACCTTCTATATGTAAATAGTAGCTCAGCACAGTGTAAGGCCAGACTTAGGTACACTTAGCAAATTAAAGGAGGCTGGTGTGGCACAGTAAGCAGCAGACCCCTGCATCAGCTCTCTGCTGTTGGACTGAGCTCTCTTCCCTTCCTACAGAAGGGGCACTTTGAAGCAAACTGGATCCAGTCCCAATATACTTTGAAGAGGACAAACACAGATCTTTCTTTACTTAGCTGTGCGTTGGGCAATCTAAAAACCATATAAGCACCAACCTATTTGTTATTCCATCTCCTCCTCTTCCCTACAATGAAGCACTGTTTTATGCTTATATGTATCAATAAATGGACCTATAAAGAAAATAATGAACATCCTTGAATACCTTCAGAGCATACTCTATTAATTTTAAAAGGGATGCAACATACTGCACCCCTTGTATTTCACCAAGATAAAAGCCTATAGATTAATTCCTATTAAAACAGTTGGTATTTTCAGGACATGCAGATGTCATTTATGGAGAGGCATAATACTCATATTAGCTCAAAGGCCACAGAAACTGTAGATCTGTGTCTGTTAGTGTAGTTGTACAGGCATTCATTGTACAGAGAGCAGTTGAAAAGGCAGAGTATGTAATCTGAATACTAAATTTGTGAACAGTTTCTCACTTGGGCTGGTTAGGCTTTTCAAGCGCAGCGGATGCTTTGTGGGGTACTTTGTAAAACATTCTGCTAATATATCACATGGTTCCTGTATTTTCTTCTCTTATCTTTACTGTCAGAGCTTTATTCATGAAGACACAATATTTGATTCTTAAAAGGGCACCAGCTCCTGCTCTGTGCTCTCCACCTGAATTCAGTGTGCTCTGTGTGAGACTATTTTTACAACAAATATTTCTTCCTTTCTCTATAAAGTAGACAACTTTAGTTGTATATAACCCAGAAGTATACAAGAAACAGATCTTTTCCCTCACCCTCACACATTCCAATTGCTATATCCAAGTTACTTGGAGAATAGTATTATATTTTCTTTTTTATCATCCACAATAAAAGTGTACAGATTTTGTCTTTTATTATAGAGATATAAATGTATATGGATATTTCATTTGTGAGGAAGGGAAATTCTAAAGTGTCCTAACAAAATTTAATTATGACACAAGCTACTAACAGAGAATCCTTGAGCCTGGGATCATTTTTATTCGTTGCTTGTACAGCACCTAGCACAATGAGGATTTATGCATGACCTAGCTTCCCACTTAGTACTTCAACAAAAATAAGAATTAACTCTTGCTCTGCTTATGGCTGGAAAACATAGTACCAACAGAATTATATACATCCCACACTGCACAGAGAACACCACAGAATTATGAAGCTTGTGAAGCAGCCAATACAGAAGTGTGCTGGATCTATTTAAATTACTGGAGCTGCT